TGTGCAAGTAGGGGGTTCCATTTTTCTTAGCTTTTGTATTATTGTGGATCTATAGAAACCGGATTATTTTTAATAACAACATGATTTCTTGTTGGAGGGTGTAATAGAAACCTTTGACAAAGACTTTGCATTCATGTCAGTCACTGGTAACTTGCTTTTGCTTTCTCTATTGCTTGCCAGTGCCTTCCTAATGGAATCAATAGGCATGTATAGATCTTTTTCTTCTGTGTGTAATTTAGGTTTTGGGTCTGAAATGCTTTTCTCTATTGCGTTTGGCCATTAAACTTCTGCAATTTGATTGAAGTTGAACATAGCTTGAGTTTTACTTACTGAATTTTTAATGCAGCGGAGCTCTTAACCACAAACAAACTCTCAGAACTAGCCTGCCTGGCACTATATCTAATGTACGAGAAGAAACAAGGAAAAAAATCTTTCTGGTATCCATATATAAGAGAACTTGATCGTCAGCGAGGTCGGGGGCAGTTAGCGGTGGAATCACCTCTTTTGTGGTCAGATACCGAACTAAATTATTTGACAGGAAGTCCTACAAAGGTATTCCTGTGCCTCTGCTCTATGTTGAAGCCAAATGTTAACAGGTTTATCATGTGTGCTGTTATGGAAAAAATTATGCGATTTCATGACCTCTAGTTCTTAGATGGGATATTGTTGATGATTCAGGCTGAAATTCTTGAGAGGGCTGAAGGAATCAAAAGAGAGTATAATGAGCTCGACACAGTTTGGTTCATGGCTGGATCTTTGTTTCAGGTTAATATGTTTAGTGTTGGAGCTAACATTTCTCGCTACTGTGCCTCTGGAAAAGTTCTAAATTCAGTGTTTTCTCACTACTATTCAGTCATTATTTTCAATTCTGAAGATTATTTAATTATTTTGTATTGTGCAGCAATATCCATATGATATACCCACAGAGGCATTCCCTTTTGATATTTTCAAACAAGCTTTCGTCGCAGTTCAATCCTGTGTAGTGCATTTGCAGGTAGGTTTGCAATGTTGTGGACATGGGTACTTTTGCAGAATACCTCAGAATAGTTTTAAACACTGAAGCAAGAGAGTCAAACATTAGTCCAACATTGTATGTTAATGTTGTTAATTCCAACTCCTTTGTCAACCCAGAAAGTCAGTTTGGCTCGGCGATTTGCTTTGGTCCCTCTAGGACCACCGCTGTTATCCTATAGAAGCAACTGCAAGGCAATGCTAACTGCTGCTGACAGTGCTGTGCAACTGGTTGTTGACCGTCCCTACAAAACTGGGGAGCCCATTGTTGTCTGGTATCACTGTCTGTCTCTTCGTTCCTACCTAGCCTGTTAATAATTTAGGTTCTGTGACTGTATTTTCGTTCTTCTTGTCAGAAAAAAATGTCCTTTCCAAATTCTTTGTTGCTTATTCATATCTTATTTTTAGCTTTTGATATTAAATTTTTATTCTCTTTGTAGGTGTGGACCACAACCTAATTCTAAATTACTCATAAATTATGGTTTTGTTGACGAAGACAATTCTTATGATCGCATGGTGATTGAGGTAAATTTGTGAGTCCACTCGATTGTCCCTGCAATCTTTACTATCAACGAATCACCTTTCTTTTGCTATTCAGGCTGCTCTAAATACAGAGGATCCTCAGTATCAGGACAAGAGAATGGCAGCTCAAAGGAATGGAAAATTATCTGTACAATTTTTTCGTGTACGAGTCATCTCTTGTTATCAATCTATCTGTAACAATTTTGGCAAGTTATATAACACACCCTCAATACAGGTGCATGTAGGAAAAGAAAGAGAGGCTGTACTAGACATGCTTCCTTATCTGCGATTGGGATATGTTTCGGATCCTTCAGAGATGCAATCTGTTCTATCTTCACAAGGTCCAATATGTCCGGTATGCTTATGTTGGTATTCTTCATTCATAGTTTATGAAACAGGGCAAATGATTTTCAATGGGTGCGGAGCATTTAACTGCTAGTATACACACGAGGATATAAACACATAGGCTGGGAGAATAACCACCCCTTTTCATTTTACCAGATATGTAAATAGACCTCAAGGGAATTCTGAGACTCATCTCAGGGTTCACCTTG